GAAAAAAAAAAAAAAAAAAAAAAAAAAACAACAAAAACAAAAACATAGAAGTACCAGTTTTATCACAGGGCAAATCTGGAGAAAGAAGAAATAATATAGGCAAAAATACATTTATATTATCTTATGGGGATGGCAAATGAGATACGAGGCTAATTTTTATTAAAAGGACTGGATGACCAGTGGAGAGCAGCTGGAGAGACACTACTGTAAACGCCTAGGGACTCAAGAGGACACTGAAAAGAAGAGAGAGGGTCACTGCGGTCACACTACTGACTCTGCAGTTTTGGCTGTCATCACTTCCTCAGGCTTCAAGGCAAACAGTATTGTGCTGTCTCCATCACTGATGCTCAACAAAAACAAAGTGTTCACAATCGTGATGTACTTTTCCTGGACAGGATTACACTAGCACAGGACCAGTATTTTGGGTTCCCACTTAAGAGTAAAATTTTAAATCTGGAAGAGATCTATGAGCCTCTCGTTCCAGGTCACACAGCTATTGGATCTGGGACTGGTCAGGGATGAGGATCCAGCTTCCCCGCCTCTTCTTACATGTTCCCTACAGATCATCCTTCAGCACAAAACATCTTTCATAATTGGCAAGGAGGGGAAGGACGAGGAAGAATACAGCATGAATACCAAATGAAGTCATGCCTATAAATAACACACTGAAAATCCATTCTTCTAAATTGCTTCAACACTTTAAAACCTTAAATTTATATCTTGTGAGGCAGAAAGCAGTTTATCAAAATGTAAGTCATACTCTTGTACTTAACAACTGCGGCATTTTCCAATAGAGCCAAACAGCAGAGCCATGCCATTTAGGTACACAAGAAATCTGTTAACCTGAGGGGTCCAGCCTCCGATCACATAGAGTTTATTTTTCACTGTCACTACAGCATGACACGCCAACGGGAGTGGAAGAGGAGACACCCTTTTCCAGTTGTCTCGTTCTACAGAGTACTTATCGACACAGTTTGTAACGAGGTACTGGTTTTTACTTTTCATCTGACCTCCTACAACATAGAGGTCATTATGGACACTGCCCAGAGCATAGAGCTCCCGAAATTCAGTTGTGCATAATTTTTCCCAAAACTGGTTTCCTCTATCATGATACCTGTAAATCAACAGAAAGAGAACTCAGGATTAGAGTTATCATGAAAACAACTCACCCAGGACACGTACTACTAAAGCTGCTTTTCCAATTAAAAACGATGAGTTCTAGCCCTTCTAATAGTAACATAAAACAGTGGTATAGGTTCATTTTTTAAAGGATTGGTGAACAAAATATAATGTGCTTAAAAATGACTGAGCAAGTCTACCTGAAGAATTTCAGAAAAAATAATATATAGAAAAGTACAGATTGCCCAGGACTAGCTTGCATTTCCTAATTCTGGGAAAGAAAATCAAGAATGAATAGGAAAGCTTTTCAGTAAATCATTTGTAATTCTGCCATTACAGAACAATTAAAAGAAACAAAAATGTATACATCTGCCTTATTCTGGGGACACAAAATATCACTTTAATACTATACTAAACAAATCATGATTTTAGGACAGAATCTAAAAATACCTCAATTCAGGATTTCAAGCAGGATGCGAGCTATGTAGAGTTTTAAGGATTGCTGTAGTACTAATGGTTTTAACACTGGGTCAAGGACACTACATGAAAACACTGTATGGAAGGAAATGAAGAGGAGAGGTGAGGGCCCTGTGAGGGAGAGTAATGGGGATGGATAGGCTCAAAATATTTCTGGCACGTGTGAAAAGGCCACTATGAAATCTTGTGCTTTGTAAAATTAATATACACTAATACAAGAAATAAAGAATACTAATTTTTTTAAAGCAGAAAGTTGCATGTTAATGAAATAAAATACTTAAAAATTCAAATAAACCCCCACTCCTGTAGAAGGCTGCTGGACATTTCTCAACTATTTTAATCAACTAGATATGGTAACTTCTTATAGGAATAGTTCCAGCAGACTAAAGGGAGTTGCAGGAGACAGGGCCGCTGGGAGATATGGCCTCAGTGCCTGTTGACGTCTGACATAGTAACGAGCGTCTGGAGGGGAAAGCAGTAAGTACTTACTGTGTATATTTTGTCTTGTAAGTCTATTTTTCCAATTATGATTTGGAATACACAGTCTGAGAAGGACACTGTACAAGTACAGTGTGATAAAATATGTGAGATTAAATGTCCCAGAAAACTTAGACAGTATATGGAATTAAAGATATAAAAACCCAAGAGAGCAGGGAAAATAAGTGAAAAGATGTTCTGTTTGGAAAGAGTAACAGTGATGAAGGAGTTATGATACGTTGTTTTGTACAGGGTACAACTTTTAAGTAACATCTGAAAGTCATATAATAGGAGTTTTCCCCCAGCTGTTCTGGGCTAACTCTCACACTCCCCAGAGAGAACATTTACTTCAGGCTCCGCAAGGAAGTAGGAGGTGTGTTCCTTTCCTGGAGGGCCTATCTGGCTTGTCATCATCAAATGCAGGAGTTTACCAAACCTCACGAGGCCTGTCTTCTATATAATTTAAGGCAGAAAACCAGTCTCTAGAATCACAGGTATTATTTTCACTACTATTTTTAATTGTATGGAGTTTAGAAGAGAAAGAAAGATTAGTTATCTTTATGTGGGGGTTACTGAAATAAAGCCAACTGAATGAATATAGAAATAGAAGTGAAAATACGTTTTGGTATTCTGAGACATAGTTTAAGAAAGTAGGCTGGGAACAGAATACATCCCGAGGAGGGTGGGAAGTACACGTCTGTTGGGTGATTGCTAATCTGATTTTTATAGTAACATTTAGAACTGAAAATCGGGAGAGAAAATACCCAGATTAAACTATAAAACTTCTTTGTAAGAAAAGTGGATATAATACAAAAAAAGTAAACAATAGTGACAAAGGAACCAACATTAACAGCTTAATATCTGAAAGCTGACACATACCCTCTTGTATGCTGAGAAGGGGAGATAAGCAAAGGAGACAGAAAGGCGTATCTTTGTCCAAAGAAATGCCTACCAGAGTACCAACTTCCTCCTTTAAGAACACATCTGCATGGGAATCTATGCACTGCAGAGAAAGGGCAAATAAAGAGCATCTGGACAAAGATGAAAGGATTAAGAAACAGAAATAGTACTGGAGTGAAGTACCACAGCATAATACATTTTTCACATGTAGCACAAAATAGGCACTAAGGTGACCTTCTGCCAAAGTGTTAGATTTTAGCTACTCAGGCATTGCCAGAAGTTTCATTTAAGCTAATAGCAAGATAATCCTATTACTGGAAGAAATAGTAGAAGTAACTGGTAACTTTTACCCTAATTGTTATAGTATAAATCTAAAGTGTCCCCCAAAAGTCTCATCTGTTCGGAGGTAGGGCTTTCAGAAAGTGATTAGATCATGAGAGTTCTATCTTCATCAAGTAGATTAATCCACCGATCAGTTCATTAGCTAATGGGCTTCTCAGGAGTTGGGGCCTAACTGGATGAAACAAGTCACTGTGGGCACAGCTCTGAAGGGTATATTTTGTCCTTGGCCTCTTGCTTTTTGTCACTCTGTGTCCTGACTACCCTGAGGCAAGCAGCTTCCTTTTCCCATACCCTTCTACCATGATGCTCTGCCTCAACTCAGCTCACAGCAGTGGAACCAGCCAACCAAAGACTGAGACTTCTGAAACTGTGAGCCCAGGAAAATCTTTGCTCTCTTTAAGTCAACCTTCTCAAGTTATTTTGCCACAGTGACAAATCTCACTAGCACACTAATTCTGAGCAAAGCTGAGATGCTGTGTGTTATTGGGAACCTGTTTGGATTCAAGACAGACTAGAAAGGAAACCATGCAGTATATAGAAAGAAGGGGAGTAGGATTTCAAACTAGGTAAGAACAAAGATGTCTGAGGATCAGAACAAAGACACTTTCACAAAGCTGGATATTTATTAAAAATAAGTTCTGATGAGAGAATTGTGGACTGTTGAGTTGAGGACAAAGAGCCATCTAAAGGACCTGAGGTACTTGGTCAAGAGGCCCTAAGATGAAAGAAAGGTGGCCACCCTAACCAAATCAAGTATAAAACAAGTGCCTGGATCCATAAGAACCATGCTGGAGAGCCAAAGCTTTCTCCTCCATAGGGTCTGACACCCTGGTTCTGTGGTCCTCACCTGAGAATCCTGAGCAAGGCTGTTCCTTTAGCTCAGTAACATGTGTTGCCATCATGGTGTGGGTCTGGACCATACACCCAGGGCTCTGCATCCCCATAGGAGAGGGACACACACCCTTGGAGTATGGATGTGGAGAAGGGAGGGGCTGTAGTTCAGGATGGATACTGTAATGCTCAGTGACGACAGACAGCAGGACTCTGTGTCCCTTCTTTGCTCATCTTGATGGTCACAAAGAATGACTTTCTGACTGAGAAGTCAGATAAGGTGCTGAGAGGGGGAGAGGAGAAAGGAAAGTTTTACTGTCTAGTGTTTATTCTACGTGTATATTTTATATTCATCCAGTTAGATGTAAACACTATTCATGACTACTTGCTGAATAAATGGTAAGTGTGTGTGTTCTCACAAGTAAGACCCAGATGACGCACTACGGATCAGCATGCACTCTTGCTCCTCTCACTCAAATCCCAGGATTAAGGCATTCTCAGGCTATGGGCGTTTTTTCAGTATTGGAGGTTTAGGAAGGACTCACAAATTAAAGTCAGAGCATGAAAACTTTCTAACTAGGGAAAAAAGCTGCTATTCTGAATTGCAATTTTTTTTTGGTGGTACCAGGGACCGAATTCGGGACCTTGCACTTGTGAGGCAGGTGGCAGCACCACTGAGCTAAATCCCTGGCCCCTGAATTATAAATTTAAAAAATGCATTCAAAAAATGTCTGGGTTAATCAACTTTCTCAGTATTAAAAGTTATATCAATTGATATAACTTTTTGTACCAAAAAACAAAACAAAACAACAAACCAGAATAAACAAACAGACAGACAAAAAGTTATATCAAGATCATTAAAAACAAAGTGATATATTATGCCTTATCATAGGAATAAATAATGAAAGGTAAGAGTGGAAAATCCAATTGAATCACAGCATACATACATTTAACTTAGGCAAATTTAACAAAGTAACAGAGAAGGAAATTTTAAAATGTGAGCAATTATGAATGTCACATTTATGCTATATTTATACTTATGGTTCCATACATATGCATACATAAAACACTGTTATGCATGCTATTCTTTAGAGAAGATTTACAAGGTAATTTTGAATACACGTAATTTAAGATATGACCACACAGATGTACCTGCCAATGTCAAAGTAAGACAAAAACAATTTTCTGCTAGATACAAACCTATAGATTTCGACATTCTTGTTCTTTTGTCTAGAGAGTCTGGAGGCACTTGCTTCCCCAGCCACAATGATAGTGTTATTTTCCATGACAACGCCAGTACACACGGTCCCTAAACCCTCCCCATACTTGGGAGACGAGATGAAATAGGTCTTCTGTGAAGCAGGATCATAACAAAAACTTGCGTCCCCATAACTTCTATGTCTTGACCTGATTCCTGAAGAGTTGTTGCCAATGCAGAGCAGAAGGCTGGTGGTCTCCATACCATAGCGCAGGTTCAGAGAGTGCTGCTGGGGTGTCTTGATGGCTTTGAACGCATTCTGAATGATATCAATGCAGCCTGCATCACACAGCAGCATTGTATTCCTTCTGAGGGCCTGTCTTAAAAAAGAAGGATTTATAAGTTCCAATCTGACTTGCTTCAAAAGCTCAACCAGATGCTCTGTGCGCAGGTCTTGGTTATGATTTACCCATCTCAGGACCAAGTCCAGAATGCTCTCCTCTCTGGATATGTTTAGATCATCTGATTTAATAAGTGTCAGAAATTGGTGCACTTCCACGTCTAGTATTTCTTCATGTAAGCTCACCTCGGCAAAGTGCTGATATAAATACTTTTTTGATTGATCGGCTAAATCCTCGGCTCCAATCTGCTTTGCAAAATAATAGATTCCTACACAGTTGGAGGCATCCATGTGGTCCATCATGTATTTCTGACACACACTGAAGACTTCTTCCATTTGCATAAAGTAGGCAGCCATAGCCACAGTCTGCACATTAGCATTGTTGATCTCCAGAGCTGCGCTGTACATGTAATTTAATATCACTGACACGCTCTCTGCTGTGATGTCATAGAGTACGACTTCCCTCTGAGTGCATTCAAGCAGTCCACAGGTGAACATAGCTTTGAAATAAGGACTAAATGCAGCCAGGACCAGCCTGTGGCAAGGGAATTTCTCCTCTTCAGCTATGAGCACCACATCAGTCATTTCTGTTAATTCTCTCATTTTCTTAATTTTATTCAGTAAGTTCAAGCTATGTTGGTATTTTTTTTGTACCTCAGTCTTGCACTCCATGACACAGTCTCCAGTGTTTTGGATCTTCTTTATGCTTAGCTTGATTCCTGAGGAGCTATTTGCATTTCTGGTTACTCCCAAATTAACAGAGATGCCATGAAACGCTCCTGAGGGTAAGGAAACAAGCAGTTTTCATCTCACAAAGAAAAAATCTCTTTAATTGAAATATTCAGCATGAGTGCTAAGATGTATTTAAAAATAAATATTATTCATTCTAAACAGAGCAGTTTAAGACAGTTATTTTTGCATCTGAAAAATGTCTTTGATGTGTAAACTGCAAATTATTAACTGCTACCAAAATATTTCCTAAACATCAGTAGAGATTTCTCTAGGATTGCAAAGTCTTCTTTCCCAAAACGAAAAGCCATTCCAGTTAACAAATAAGGCTAACCTGCAGGTAGAGGGCACAGGGACATCAGTAACAGTTTCTCTAGATGTAATCTTACCCAAAAGCTTACATACATCCTCTCTGAAAATGCATCTGTGTGTTATAATCACCTGACTGGGGTCAGGTAGTACAGATCCTGGAAACTGGATGACTGGGAAAAAAGTCCACTAAAATTCTGCTAAAACTTTGATATTGGACAAATAATTCAAAGCAGTAGATAATTCAAAGATTCTTTCTACCGGGCTTTGGAAAGCACAGGCAAATGTCTGCTAATCGAAGAATTCATGGTATTTAAACTTCCAACTAAATCATCCTAAACCTAGAAAATGCACCAAAGCCTTCCAGTTTCTCTGTCCTCCCTCTTTGCTCAGCTTCTCTTTGTCCCCTATTTCACAGTGGCAGAACCGAACTGCGCCTTGCTTTAAAAAGCACTCGTCTAATTAAAAGTCTCTTCAAGCTGGTGGTGCCATCTTCACCTTCCCGGGGGCAATAGAAAGGGGAGGTTTCAACAAAGTTAATTAGCTGCTTTGATTTACAGGATATTCCTAGAGCCAGGAACCTTCACGTGAGATTTCCAGTCTCTTCCTCCTTTCTTACCTTCTACTTGGCTATAAAGATGCATTTAGTGAGAATAAATGTTGAGGGCAGAAAAGTTAGTACTGGGATTTAATAAAGAAGGGCAGGAGAGATTTCAATAACATGAACACAAAATTTGTCTGCTACAAAGGGTAGACATTTTCTAAACTTCTGAAACCCTTTAAAGAATTAAAAATCTCACGAGAAATGACATTTTTGAGCATTGAATTAAAGCTTATTTTAGGAACAAGTGTTACACATGACAGGAATGTTTAATTGTGTAGTGACAACTCTAAGACCTATGGAGCACCGGACTGCAGCCTGTGGAATTATAACAACTAGCCAATCTCAGAAGCTGTACACTTCAACCTCTCCTACCCTGTGTGCTGGATTTTCTGGCATTAATGGCTCAGTTATTTCTGGTTGCAATACCAGGGACTGAACTGAGGGCCTTCACATTAAGCTATATCCACAGACTGACTCTCTCTCTCTCTCTCTCTCTCTCTCTCTCTCTCTCTCTCCAAGGACTCATTAAATTGATAAGTTATTCAGGTTGGGTTTGAACTTGCAATCCTCCTGCCTCAGCCTCCTAGACTGCAGGGATTATAGGTGTGCACAGCCACTGACAGGTAATATCTTTTTAAAAAAAATAATTTTATTGGTATATTTTAGGTATGCAATATAATGACATTCATCATTGGAGATTTGTACCTTTACATGATATATCTTATTTCTTCCCATTCCCCTGCCCTTCCTTCAGCCCCTCCACCCCTCTCTATTTGCAATGACTTTGTTTTCATTTTCTGGTATTAATTCCATTCCCTTTTTTCCTTTCCCCTGTCCCTCCCACTTCCCCTTCCCCTTTGCACCTTTTCTTCCTATTTCACATTATCTATTATACATTTTGATTCTTATTTAAACTTTTAGTTTCTTGCACCAGAGAAACTATTTGGTATTTACACATATATGTGTCCTATTTATTTCACTTAAGAGAATAGCCTCAATGTGTACCTATTTAGCTATAAATATCTCTAATTTCTCATTATTTTTGGCTGAGTAGTACTCCATTTTATTTTTCAAAAAAGCCCACATATTCTTTATTCAGTCTTCAGTTGATGGGCAAATAGGCTGTTTCCAAGTTTTAGCTATTACAAACTGACAAATAATACCTCATAAACAACTTCGTAGTGGATAGTGTTGGGTTTCCTAAGTGTCTAACCTGCTCTCAGCTGGTGCAGTTAGAGTGGGACTGACTCCCCACCCCTTACTACTGTTACTGGTTAAGGGGCGGCACCATACCTGAGGTTGGCCTCACTAGTGTGAAGCGGGGGTCTCTGGTTCAATGACCAGGGGTTCACATGTCGTACAGGAGGGAGGTCAGAGGCTGCCACAGCCATGTCCCTATAAAATAGCATGAAGTCAAAGCAAATACAGAGCACAGGCAGGGTAGAGCTATAGAATTTGAAACAGGCCTTATATCCATATTTTTCAGTTGTGAGAGACAGTTTAAGCTGATTTTAATTGGGATTGATGATATTTTTAATAAAGAATTCTTTCTGTGTAAGTGGTATATGCAGAAATATTTAGAAAAGGTTGCATAAGGTAACTGTATTTATATAAAATATTGTTGTTATATTCTTATATTTTTCTATTATTAAACTGTCATGTAACAGAACCACTGAAACCTCTTCTTAGTCTCCTTTATCTTTGATAAAAAGCAACAGTTACTTAAATCACCCTTTGGAGTTTGTCTCTTCTCAGGAAATGGACACAAAGTCTGTACCATTACCCTTCCGTCTAGTGCAAGGGTTGGCACAACAGGGCCAGAGAGCAACTATTTTAGCTTTGCAGGCCATACAGCCTCTGTCACAATCATCCAGGTTTGTAAACTAATGGGTGTGGACTGTGTTCCAGGGCAATGTTTTACAGATGGTGAAATGTGAATTTCATATATTTTTGCATCATATTTTTACATGTCATAAAATATTATTCCTTTTTAATTTTTACAAGTCATTTAAAATTATGCAATCTATTCTTAGCTCATGGGTTACACAAAAACAAGTGGCAGGTTGCCGACTGCTGCTGTAATGTTATAAATAAACCCATCCTCTAGTTTGTGAGTAGGATAATATTCTGTCTGTGTGACTAATCTCCACTTCTCTTAGATCCAGCTGAAGAGTTTTGAGAGGAAAATGTTCCTGTTTTAAAAAGATCACCTAGTTGTCCTCAGATTCTCAGATCTTGAATAAATTCTGCACATGAGTGCAACTTCCCTGTCTCAAAACTGGCTTCAGCAAACAATAAAAAAGGAGAATTTCTTTTAAAATAAAAATAACCTTTTCAAACACTCAAAATAAACATTTATTATGAAATTTTACAGCAGGCATATATATTTGTTAAGCATCCTTTCCTTCCACTTGGCCTTTATATAAGTTTCAAAAGCTATTCTAATTGCTATGGATTAATAGATCAAATGAATTTATTGATGGAAATCCTGAAAAATGCCTGTGAAGTTAAATTGGCCACTACACTTCAAAAACATTCTCAGTATTGTTTTTTTTCTTTTTGTCTTTTTTTTTTTTGGACAGCGTCTCGCTACGAAATCCAGGCCGTCTTCGAACTCAAAGTGATCCTCCCACCTCAGCCTCCTGAGTGCGCCGCGACACCCAGCTGCAGCATTGCTCCTGTACGCAGAGGGTGCACAGAAGACATTGTTGTGGCAGCCGGGGACTCAGAAGTGAGAAAGCCCGGGGTCTGAATCCTGGGTTAGCTGCTTATGTGCTGCAATCTTAAATTTATTTAACTTTTCTAAACCTTAGTTTCCTCCTTGATATAATGGTGATAAATTACATAAATAGTCATAATAGTCTTTGGCATCCAGGAGTCCAGTTAAAAGGTTAGAAATGTAGATTTCGGTTTGCATGACTGAGGCCTGGGTTTGGACCCTTGTTCTACTGATCAGTAATATGAACATGTTCGTTGGCCTCTTTAAGTTCTAGTTTTCTCACCCTGAATTTAAGACTTGAATATATGGGGAGAAATGAAGAAGGCCATGTGTGCAGAACTGTAATTTGCATGGTTAATTTACTTGGTAAAGCTGATGCAGAATATACCTGTACAAACTCTTTTCAAACACTGAAAATATTTGGGTGCACATACAAACCACTTGTTGATACAGACTCAGCTCATAAATGAAGAGAGCTGACAGCAACTTTTTCTCATAATGAGGGCAGAGAGTGCATTCTCCTTTCATCAGCAAAACAAAACTGTATAAATGTTCTCAATGATATCAATGGGAAGTTATTCTCTGCTCCAATTTATAGAAGACTGAACTGGTGAATTCATAATAATAGTACCCATAATAATGGAGAAAAATGAGTAGCAAAGATAAATATAAATCACAAGAATAAAGCCTGATTACTTTGCAAATCCACAATGCACTTATACCCATGTTTGTTATATTTAAGAAGTGGACTGCTATAAATTTTAGTGTGGTGCAGAAATGTCAGTTTCCTTAAACCACAAGCATTTTGCTTTTATGTTTTATTATCTTCATATTATCTTTACAGTTGCTATTTTTTCTGACTAATGGATGACACCTGACCATGCCTTCCTCTTCATGAAGATTTTCCATATTTTGCTGAAGTTAAACTAATTTAAATTTACAGCAGCACTGGTTGAAATAGTGAAAATTTGGAAAATTACCTCAATGTCTATTAAAGCGATAGACTAGTATGTGCACTCAAAACAATGTTGTACAACAGGAAAAAATGAACTAGATCTACATGTATCCACGTGGATAAATCTTTGTACATGTGAAAGACTACAGAATAATGCTGCACACTGTTAATGTTTAAAATATGCAAAATAGTATATTTCTTTTCTTTCTTTCTTTCTTTTTTTTTTTTTTTTTT